TATTAATTCTCTCCTTCCTCAAGCCTTTTCCTCTTTGTAAGAAGATTCAGCTTGGAAAGCTGTGATCAGCCTAATCAGTTTTCTATTACTGAGACTGGTGCTCATAGCGCAATTTGTTAAATCAATTTATTATCCTCCCAACCAACTTCAGTGATCAGAGCGTGAAAACACTGAAAGAAAATTAAAACTAGTGGAAGTGTTGCTTGTTTGGATAACAGCACATTTTGCTGTTTCAAAGGATTACTCATCTGCACCAAAACAGGGAGAGAAGTTAATTTCAATGATTTAGAATCTTCTATTTCAGGGAGGCCTGGCTTCCACATTATGATGGATTCAGGAAGAAGTATAATTCGTTCTTAAATTGTTAAACAGCACGTTAGGGCCAAGTAGCCAAGTAAAAATGAATGGATTCATTTGTAATCTTCAACAAGCGTGTCTGTGTGTGGGAGGGTGGGATGGCAGGCTGGGGTAACCTGTAAACAAATGCCAGATGCATGCTGGCACTTCAGGCTTTGGGTGTTGAAAAGCAGCCAAAATAACCTGCAGAGAAGGGAAACAAGGGTTTTTCTGCCTAAAATGGAATTCTGCAGATCCTCCAGTCCTGTCCTCCTGTGCCCTTCAGTGGGAAGGGGAGGTTCCCTGGATTTCCAGAGGGCAGTGGCTCTCCCGTCTTTGCATCTTCAAGCTTCTGAGTGTGAACTAAAGCAAAGCACCTCAGCAGGTGCCAGGATCCTGTAGGGCACAGGGACCTTTGGTGCTACCAGTGGCATCAGAGTAACATGGGAAGGTGTCTGGGAATGTTTCCTGTTTCTGCAGTGCTGTTCTTCTGGATTGGGTTGATGGTGCACATCTGGAAAGGGCACTGGAGCTGCAGATGTGCTGTACAGTGTAAAATTCAGAAACCAAAGCTGATGGTATCATATGAACCATGAAATGTTGCACTGGTAGGACAGGAGAAGTGTTTCACTCATAGTTCTTTCACAGGACATAAATCACTTTAATAGTTTCAAGTCATGGCTGGTGGGTTTTTTTTCCAATGCAAAAAACGGGAACCCCCTCCCCGCCAAAAAACGCAAAACCGGTAAAAGGGCCAAAAACCAATAAAAAAAAAAAAACAACAAAAGCTATTAAAAAAAACCTCCTTGGACTCTTCTGTCTTCCTCCAGTTTCTGCATATGCTTGTGTTTGAATTTCTTAGGTGCCTCTTCAGGTGGCAGAGTACAGTGTTGGAATGAAAAGTCAACTGGATATGAGGAATTCCAGTCTTGGAAGGTCCTTGGCATGGTACAAGTGGTCACCAGACTTGAGGGATCTGAGGGCAGCTCTGCTTGGATGAGGCCAGTAGGAAGAAGTACAGTAAGGCCACCACAGAAATTTGACCTGGGGAGAATAAATGCCTTATTTTGCAAAGTTTAGGGCTGCTTCTGTAAAGCAGGCTGCTTCTAAAACTTCTCTCCTGTTTTCACACAGCTTTATTTACAGCTCAAAGTACAGAAAGCAGTGGTTCTGGACTGGTACTGTTAATGTATACACTGTACATCAACTTTATTGCAAAGTGTGTTAGCAAACTACCAGAATAGCTTTCAATCTGCAGATAATCTTACTCTCATTTATATTTTTGGGCTGTGTTACTTTGCCCAGCATAGGCATAGCCATTGGAATCCATCCAGTTCACCTAACAACTTTCATTAAAGAAAATTGCCCTTGTAATAAAAATTATTCAGTGTGACAAGATTCCATAATATATTTTTTTAAAGCTTCATTAAATTTTGTAGTAGTTAACGACACTTGTTTGTTTTTTTAAAATTTTCTTTTAAAAGCAAAATTTGGCTTAATTGGGACAATATTTGAAATAGAAGGAAATAACTATTTTCTATCTGGATGCGTAGAAGCCAGGCCGTGTGGCAGGAATAGCATGAGGATAAGGAAATAAAGAAATCTCTTTGAAAACCACATTTTACTGAGTTTTGTGTATTGTGAGGTTGCTCAGAGGTCTGTGACTCTTCAATTAGGCAAAGCAGCTGCAATAAGCTCTGCCCACTTGCAGTTCATGATAGAGAACAAAATGCAGTGACCAAAGATGGATTTTTCTGCACGTTTGGGAGGAGCAGCTTACCTGAGCATCATCGTGCAGGACAGCCCTCAGCAGGTGTGCTCCCTGCAGCAGTGTGAGTGCACAGGTGCTGCTGGAACTCCTGCAGCTTTTCCTTGTTCTCCAAACCATCAGGGACATGATTCCTGTCGTGTGAAGCACTTTACCAGTGTGACAAACAGCAGAGTCCTCACTGCAAGCATGCAATGCTTTGGTGTTTTCTTATTATGGAAATGTAGTAAAGAAATGCTGAAGAACCAAGCCCAGCTTTTGGGAATGCAGTGAGAAGTCAATGGATTAGACTTTCTGCTGTCTCTTTGCACAGTACTTGCCTAAGAACACTCCATGGCTCCTGTGCCTTCCTTTCCCCATGACACCATAAAAATGGAGAAATCTCCTTTTTTAGCTGCTTGTTCATCAATAGGTACAAATCACCCTGTCCTCAGTCAGTGTAGCAGAGCAGCCATCATCATCATCACAAGTGATATGGCCAAGTCCAGTGGCTCTGTGCTCCCCTTTTGGGGGGTGTGTGAGACCAGATCCCAGGACGTTCTCGTGTTTGGTAGGAGGCTGAGCATGCCATTGTGTCCCTGGAGGAGTCACTTCAGCTGCCCCAGGTCACCACAGATGAAATTGTACCACAAATCAAACAGTTCAGAAAGGCTAGTGCTGTTAAAATGGAAATGATGGACACACATGTGGTAGGCAAAACTCTGGGATCTTTCATAGTCTAATTTTTTCATTTTAATCAAAATAAAGAGCTGAAGAAAGGCTCTTTATATTTTCCATTGGTTTGGAGCTGTGGATTTTTTAAAACTTTCCAGTGCTTTATAGGTTTGGCTTGGATAATGTATGTATTATGTAGTCAGATCTTCCAAGTGTCTCCTGCTATTATCAATCTCTGGCTGTTGTTAGGGAAATCAGACTGAGAGTATCTGGTGTGATGGTTCCTTCTTTTATTATAACGAGCACCAGCAGCCACTCTTGTGTTTATCTTGTCTTGGGTACATTAAGTAAAGTCTGCATCCTGGTTTGGGCTTAGCTGATTTATGCTTGAAGTGAGGATTATTTGTTCTCTGCAATGAAACAATCTTTTGTGACAAACTAACAATGGCAAGGGATGAGCTCTGATGTTAAACAGTGGTAGCTTTTCTTTTTTATTTTTTCTCCTCTCGTTTTAAGTCTACCCACTGCCTCAGGAGGAAGGCAGCTGCACTAATAATATGTCTAGTCTCTGTGGAAGGCCCTTATTTGAAAAATCTGTAATTGAGTGGACAAAATTTCTGGTTGCTTGAGAGGATCTATTCAGAAGAGACCTGAAAAGGATGAGGGAAAAGCACACTAGACGTCAAGAAGTCCTAAGGGCTCTATTGAGAGGGAAACCTATGTAGATACTGTGAGACAATTACACTTGTCAGACAAAACACTAAAATGAATCTGTGAGATAAAGTCCTGGGGAATGTTAAACAAAGCTTTGAACAGGGCAGAGAGCTTGCTGGGAATACCTCAAAAGCAAGGAGTTGTATTTGGGTGATGTTTGAAGAGAGGCACATGATGACTGCTTCAAAGAGCAGGCACAGAATGTGTGTTACCACAGGGCTTCTGACCATTCTCACACTTGCCAGGTCAGCTGAAGTGGGGAGAGCTCATAACTAGGTTAAATTTATTTGCTCCTTTGCTCTTTCCAGTGAGCTGTTCCAATACCCAGCCTTCCTGATGCCCTGTTCAGGGCCACTTTCCTGCTGTTGGCCTTTCCAGCCCCTGCCTTTCACGCTTCCTTTGGAAACTGAGGAAGATGTGCGGTACAGAGTGGAGAGGATGTGTTCCCTACAGAAGGCAAATACCCTCAGAGGGTTATTTGTTTTTCAGTGATTGCCTCTAGTCAAGTTTTGTTGTGTGAGATTTTGAGTTGCTTGCTTAGATGTAAGATACAAAGTTTTGTTTAGTGAGGCTTCTTTCCTGCATCAGTTGCTGACTGCAGTGGGTGCTGTGGGGCATTAATGAACAATCTCTGGCACCCTCTGAATGGGCTTTCCTGTCAAAACTTCAGATGCCTGAAAGATCAACCCATTAGTGATGAGGCCAGCATCAGCTCAGCCTATTTTTAGGTTTTTCTTTGCTGCTTCATTCTTTGATGTAAAGACAGCTGTGTTCCCCTCTCTCGTTATGCAGACCAAACTTTTTATCTGCACTTTGGAACAAGCTGTCTATTGTTTTGATCACTCACTGATCTTTCTCTGCAGCTCTCTTGTTTGAATTCTTGTCAATCATGGTGACTGCCACTGTGTTAATTCAGATGTGGCTCCAGTCCATGTTCAGTTGTGTAAATATTTCCATATTTAAATGCAAATCTCCTCTGATAAGCAGTTGAGGAAGCCATCCCCATACACACTGTGGCTGTGCCTGCCTTGCAGCTTGGAGGGGTGTCTGACTAGGCTTTTTCCTGGTTTTTGTTTATGCATGAGTAGATTGCTATGTTGTGTGTTTTGAAGAAACCACACAAAACTTAAATGCCCTGAGTGTGGTTTACTTCTGAATATGAATTCCCCTGTGTCTTTCCTAAGTTAACGTGGTTTTCCACAAGTGTCCAAGAATCCTGGCTCAGGGTCTGCCAGCTGTCTTTTTATTCCTTTTCCTCCTCCTCTGCTGCTTTCTTTCTCATTCTATACACTTTGTTCCTTTTTTTTTTCCTCAGCTGTTTAATTGCTTCTAAAGTTTTGGAACATCCTCAAAAGTCTTGCTTAGGCAGTTATTTTTAAACCCTTAAAAGCAGTAAGTTTTACTCCCTTTTTCCTATTGCTGCATTTGTTACCTGTTGAGGCCCTACTTCCAAAGACATCTCCTCCTGGTAAAGACAGAACAGCATTTTTAAGGGATTGCTCCTTCCCAATGTCTCCTTTTCACACAGAGCACCTGAAGAAGCGCCTGGAGGATTACATGGCGCAGTTCCCCAGCGTGCGGATCCTGCGCACCAAGAAGAGGGAGGGGCTGATCAGGACCCGCATGCTGGGGGCCTCGGTGGCCATCGGGGACGTCATCACCTTCCTGGACTCCCACTGCGAGGCCAACGTCAACTGGCTGCCACCTCTGCTCGGTGAGTGGGGGCTGCTGAAATCATTCCCACCTGCTGCTTTCCCCTCGTGCTGTAAGTGGGTAAAAGAGGAAATATCATAGGAGAACAAACCACAAGGCTCAAGTGAATTGTTGGCGATTTGTAGTGTGGAGTACAAGATTTTTTCTGTTCTGGAGTCCTGCACTGTGCAGTAACCCTGCTGTATGCTTTTGTTAATTAAAGAGCAGAAATCATATTCTTCTGTTTCCTCATTAAATGAAATCTTAAATAATTTACAGCTTGCTAGAAGACTAAACATGCGGTCATTCAACAGCTTGCCAAGAGGAATGGCTTGATGATACAGAAAAGATTTTTACATAGAGTTTTTGAGTAGTTTTAAGGGTTTTATCTCCAATATAACTATATTTAACTTCATAGTCTGCAAGGCTGTGAAAAATACTTTTTGTGAATGAGAGCTGGTGGTGTGTATTTGTAGAACATGGGCGCTCCTTTCCAAGGCAGCACTCCATCTTTGAGAAGGTGTCAGTTCCTTTCAAGGATGACTAATTGAAGGAGCAGTGCTCTCTGTTTCTGGTACCTGTCTGCCTCTGGCCGGTACCAAACTCCTTCACATCCTGCTGCCAGTGACCTGTCAGAGCTCTCTGAGGTGTGACTTTCTCAAACAGGCTGTGGCAACAATTGTCAAGCAGAGGTTTAAGAAAGAGTGCAGGTTTGATGGATGGTTATCCTGTTGCTTTCACTACAGTTTATATTTGGCAATAGTTTGAAACATTTGCAGCTTTATGAACCCCAGGGAGGGAGGACAGAATTAGCTCCAATGCCATTTAAATGAGAACACTAAGAGGATGCTTTGATTTTTAAAGCACAGAAAGGATTTCTGTGAGATATGTTCTGGAAACTGAAATGTCATTTTATTGCCTCTGCTCTGAGAGCTAACTTCCAACAAGAGACTGTCTCAGTAACAAAGTATTTAAGAAATTCCAGATGTTTATGCAGGAATTGATCCTGTGTTTGGTGGGAAGAAAAGGTTGACGGAGAGGAGGTAACACTTGCATTTCTTGAGCCTGCTGAGAGTACTTATGCCATTAGTCTGAAATGCTTCCTGCCAGATTCTAGTGTGGCAGGGCTGGGTGGTGCAGTGGGTTATTCCCTGGATCTGGATCTGCACAGATGGGGTTCACATCCTGGTCACTTGTGGAAATGAGGATGGCTCACCGAGTACAAGAAATCTGATTTTAGCCTGGCAGTCATTTCTCTGTGGTAGTGTGGCTGTGTCTTCCCATTCTGCTTTTGGGTGATGGGTGCCTGGTGTTTTTCTCTGTGACTGCAGAACTAGCAGATAAATTGATATAAATTGGAGCATCTGCTCGCTAGAGAAGGAACAGGAAGAAAACTGTGTCATTCTTGGACAACTTCATATTTTGATGCTCTTTTTTAGTAATTTCATGGTGAAAGGAACCAGCTGGTGCAGGTTTTCTAACATGTTTCTCCAATCTTCAGATCGCATTGCCCGAAACCGCAAGACAATCGTCTGCCCAATGATTGATGTTATTGATCACGACCACTTCGGATATGAGACTCAGGCTGGAGATGCAATGCGAGGGGCATTTGACTGGGAGATGTATTACAAGAGGATCCCTATTCCTCCTGAGTTACAGAAACCTGATCCCAGTGATCCCTTTGAGTAAGTTACTGAAATGCAGAGTGCTAAGAGCCAGCTAATGAAATAATACCCTGCTGTAGGGTTGGTTTACACCTCAGCATTGCAAAAGCCAGAAGCTCGTGTTAAGCTGCTTGCTTTTTTGGCAGCTGTTTGCTTTGCTGGTTTAAAAGAAATGCATTGTATAGTAGCTGTGAACACTCTCCTTTTCATTGCTGTTTTTTGCCACGTTAATTCCTGCAGAAGTTAACATTTCATTGAAATCTCTAATGTGTAACAATTAATGCAGTCATTTATTACTGAGATCTTTCAAACATAACTTAGTATCCCTAATGTTCTGCCAAAAACAACAAATCAATGGTGGGTTATGTGTCATTCCCAGGTGGGGGAAGAAGAAAACTAAGCAGAATAATTACAGCAATTTTGATTATTACAATGCACTGCAGAAGTATATCTGTGATCAAGTTGTGCTCTGCTGTTGCTGTGTTTGCCAACACTGAGGCAGTTTTGCTGTCCATTATACTCTGCAGTGTTTAAAAAAAAAAACAAACCAACAAAACACTTTTTGAGGTCAAACTCAAAGACTCAATCCTGCAACAGAAGCAGAGCACCATGTGTGGAGCATACAGGTCCCAGGTCACTTAATGGTCAACTCCCTGCTTGGAGGAGAGGCATTACCAGGTTCTGAAGGGAGCCTGGTCTGGTTCTCCTCGTTTGCAAATGGGAAATCAGTAGATAACCCCAAAACAACTGTTTGATGGGTTGACGGGGCTGTAAAGGCACTGGAAACACTGGGTGGTGAAAAGAATATTTGTCAAATCTTGCTTTGTTTTTTAAATGTTTAGCTAGAGATCTGTGTCTTTGAATGTGTTTGTAATATGGAGTCTGGTTTTTCCTTAAGGTCTCCTGTAATGGCTGGAGGACTGTTTGCAGTCGATAGAAAGTGGTTCTGGGAGCTGGGAGGGTATGATGCAGGTCTGGAGATATGGGGAGGAGAGCAGTATGAAATATCCTTTAAGGTGAGCCATGTTCTCTGGAAATTACTTTTGTTTTGAAAAGTAAGAATTTGTTCTGAGGCGCAGAATGTGAATGATCTGTCTTGTCGTTTTGCGTGTGACTAAAGGTGAAAGAGCTGGGAGTAGTAAGATAGTGCACAGAAGAATCAGCACTGATGTGAGCAGTGACCTGTGAGGGTGAGTTTTGGAGCAGGATTAGCTGGGCTGTCCCCATTCTGTGGTCACAGCTCCAATGCAAGAGCTTTTCCCAGCAAGGGTAAGTCAGCTGGTGTGGAGCTCTCTGCCTCTGGGGCTGCTTTGTGCTCACCCTGGCAACATGATGAAATACTTTCTCCTTGAGGGAAGGAGGATTCCAGTTCCAGGAGGACCTCAGTGCTCAGCTGGAGTTCTCAGAGAGGAGAACAGCTTTGTCTGTAGTCAGTCCAGCTCATCCCTAGCTGTGAGGAACTAAGCCAGGAGGAAATCTTCAACAACTGGAGTCATTACTGTTGCTGGCAATGATTTTGGGTCATTATCTGCCTGGCCTGGGGACAGTTGTGCCACTGATTGACTGAGCTGGTCGATGGAGGGCTTTAAGATTTAGCCAGCTGCCCAAAAATGCATACAAAGAGTAACAAGTCACTGTAACCCACCAAGACTGCTGGTTCCTGTGTTTGGCTGGACTATGGAACTCTGAAATCCAGTTTGGGAAACCCACCAGAATGTCCCAAGCCCCTGAAGGCAGGTAGCAAGTCCATAACCTGGACCAAACTGAGTAAAGATATCTACAGTAAACTCTGTTTGAAGTTTCTTTCAGAGGTTGAATATTCGATTCTACAGCTGTCTGGATGCCACTAATCTAAGCTAGCTGACCTTACATGAGGCTAGAGGATAGCAGGGATGTAATGCACAGTTTGGCTTCAGCAGCTAAAATTCTGTCTCCCCTGGCAAGTCAAGGCTCATACTTTACAAAACAGATTCCAGGATCTCCATGCCTCTGAACAGTTCAGAGGAATGCAGAGTGTGGCACATTGCTGTACACACACCCCATGTGCTACTGGGCAGCACACAGTGGGAGAAAAGACACTGATTTTGAGACAGCCTTTTCTTCCATCATTTCCTCACCAAAACCCATAAGTCACCTTGGATGTCCCTTGTCCTCTGTGACATTGGCAGGAAGGGAGGGGTGAGGGCTTCCTCTCTGGGGGTGTCATTGTGCTTAGAGCCATTTCACCTTTGTGTTGTGTGCAATGAAATTGTGTAAGGTGCTCATTCTCTGCAGGAGGGGCAACATTCAGCCTCTTCCTCTCTGACAATGCTGGTTTCCAAGAGTGATGACAGTGGCTGGGCAAACCCTTTGTCTTCAGTGCCACAGCAGACAGTCACACTACTTGATCTGCAGGAAATAAGACTGCCTCATTCATCTGTTTGCTTATCCCCTCTGAAACATGCTGTGTTTTATTTCAGTCCAGAGATGGTAATTTATGGAGGGATAAATTTGCTTTAATTAATCTCTGCAAAGACCCCCTTTTTCTTTCATTGTGCAACAGAAAAAAATGAAGTTTTCACTGAAAGAGGCTCAGTGTATTTTCAGAAATTAAGATAAATTGATACATTCATCTGTGGCTGATAGATTTAATAATTCTGCTGGAATTGCAAGAATAGAAGGTTTGTTCATAGAATTTATGAAGCTATGACATTTCCTGGTGAGCTTAGAGCTATGTTTTTACCTTTAGAAGCAGACTGAAATTTTGTAGTTAAAGGTGCACTGTCAAATAATTTAAAGTTCTGGCTTCAGGTGTGGGGTACCCACTTTCACATTATTTATTATCTCATGGGAATGCAGATTCTAAGCATGCCAGATTTACAGCCCAGCTTTAACAAAGAAATCTGTTCCTGTCCCTGGGTGCCATGGGTGCAGATTCTCTTCTGTACTGCTGGCCTGTGCTCCATTGCAATAGATCTGGCCTTCCCAAGGCTCACCAGGAGTAAAGGACTTCTGGGGGAGGTTTTTTGTGTTTTGGATTTTTTTTTTTCCTTAAGCATATTCTTCTTTTGGCCATTCATGTACTGTGCTTTGCTGGTTTTGCCTTTATTTTAAAATACAGGGCTCTGTTGCTGAGAGACTGGAAATAAACAAGTTTATTTAGGAACCTCTTGCCTTTCTTTTTGGAAATCATACGTATTTCTGTTATCAGCTGGCTCTGCTTCCTTCTGAACAGAAATTTTCAAGCAAGCCAACAGAGAAAGCATCAATGTTTAACACCTCGGAAAACATTTAGCTAGAGGGTAGATCTAACTCTAGAAACCTTGCACTTTGTATGAAACATGTGCATCAAACATCGTTAGAAAATGTTGCGTGTAGGAGGAACAAAAAAATTGAGGTGAACTTTCAAACCTTAACTGCTGGTTTGTTGTTTTCTGGGTCTTAGCAATCCCTTAAAACAGAAATGTGAGTTTAGAAGTGAAGGAGTTGATCTATCTATTCCATATTCGAGCAGAAAACAGGCACTGCTTCCTTCTCTTGACCTGTGTGCATGCAGAGCAGCTCGGTGTCTGTGAGCCAGCACTGCTGCAGGTCAGGGTGACCCCAGGCACAACAGGCAGATCACAGTCTGCAGTGGTAGTTACAGGTGAATTCCCAGGTGCTGACCTTGAAGTGTGTTCTTGTATTTTGGAGAAAGTGTAAACAAGCATTCACAGCTGCCTGTGGGGCATTTGTCACCTTTCCTTTCTGCTGCCTCCTGGTTCCTCTCTTGCAGTTTTTTCTGGTCTTTTTCTTTATCTTCCTGATTGTGGAAACAAAACTCAATTCTTTACCCAAAGTTATAATGGACCTTTCCTCTCCTGAACACAATTTAACAGCTGCCTACGTAAGCGCTACGTTGGTTTTTTTTTTTACATAAATAAGTGCATTTAATTTGGAGCAGTGTGAAGCATTTAAACTGTTCCCTTCTGCAAGTGCTACTTTGTACAGCACTTAGCTATGCTCAGTTTTATTTGAGATGGTGTTGCCTCTTTTCCAGTATTTTTGTGGCTTCTATTCTGTTTGGCTTACATAAATCTTCACTAAACTGCTTCACGCCTCTCTTCCATAAATACATAGTCTGTGATGTTTTTTGGTTATGGGGAAACAGAAGAGTAAAAAGGGATATGTCTGACTTGTGTAGGCATAAATATAGATGTACTTTGTATCTCAGATCTGAGTGGTGTGGTTCTCAGTCCTTTAATTGCACACTGTACTTGAAGAGCAAAGAATGAGAATCCAGAATGTCCCACTCCAGGGGATAAATCATTTCAGTTTTAGAAATGTTTGCCTTGTAATTTGGAGATTGTAAAGCCTTCATGAAAGGCAAAGGGCTCAGTGCAAACAAGCCAAATTGACAGTTGCCCTGAAAAGAACAATTAAAAGGTAGACAAAAGAGCTGGTTAGTACTTGTGGTCTACAATTCTTGCTTCAGCAATAGGAAAAGAGCCATTACACTTATTCTGGTCATTGTAGGTCATTGCATTTTTCCAGATCCTTTTCCCAAACCATCAACAAGGATTGCTTCTGATTTCCACAGCTTAAAACGTGTTACATGTTTTCCAACAAATCCAAGTGCTCTATGCCTTCTGTTCACATGTCTAATGCCTGCCTCTCCCTTGCCCCATGCCAGCAGCACGTTTCTGATTCCCATTTTGCCACTGGGCTCTGGCAGGTGTGTAGTTAGGGTGCAGCTGCCAAGGGATCCCTTCTGACAGCATTTCTACTTGTGTTGCTGAAGTTAGTGCTGATTGTGAGCCTGCACTGCTTATTCCAGGCACACCCTCACTCCACTTTCCAGCAGCTCACGTTTGCCCACACTGGAACAGGCCAGGCATTCTGCTGCTTTTTTTTGTTTGTTTTGGGGTTTTGTTTGTTTGTTTGTTTTTTAGCCAGCACATGCTGCTTAATTCTGAGGCCCTCAGCTGCACTACAGGGTGGCTTCTTTCCTATCTGGTGATGCACAGAGCAGTTTCAGACCATTGACTTGAATTTTTTGCCTCTGTGCACCTTTTTCTTGGTTCAGGTTCCTGAGCAGCCTCCCAGCAAGCAGCAGCAGGGAAGTGCTCCCCTCCACTCCCTGAAATGTGGTTATTACAAAGTGCTGTTATTACTCTCAAATGCTGCAGATGCTGAGGATGGCTCTGCAGGTATGTGGTGTGTGAGAAGGTGCTGTGCAAACACATAGATCCCAGTGCCTCACGGGCTGCCTTAATCTCTCAGAGAGCACCAAGTCCCAGCAGCAGGAACAGCTGATGCTTCCAGTATAGAGGATTACAGTTTTCCTGAGTTATTGCCCTTGCTTTCATCCTCTCAGCTACTCTGTTATAAAGAAAACCCCCTTGACTTATCCTCTGTGCCCTTTTCCTCCTACCTTTCAGTGTGTGCTCACACAACCAGCCAGCTGCTCTCTGTAGGTCCATCCCATGGTCTTCATTTCTGTCTCTTGCAGAAGCAGTTTTATTTTCAAGGCTTAACTATCCTTTGTATTTTTTTCCTCTCTTGGGAAGCATTGGCTCATCGTGGTGCAGTCTTTGGAAACCATAAACCTTGTATACCCAGATAATTTGTGTTCACACACCAACTGCAGCATTGTATTGTGTGTTTGAGAGGAGAGGTTCAGCTGTCTTACCTGACATTGTTTTCTGAAATTGCAGAAAGGGAATTGGATCAGCATAACATTCCCATGTAGAGAATAGGTGGCATATTATCTGCTGCTCTCACAGCGTACTGACTGAATCAAAGGCTCTGGAGTCGCTTTATGAATATGGAGTTACAGCTCTCCAGGCTGCTGGGAAGATGGAAGCAATATCACCAGTGTTAGTTTATTTCCCTTGTGTGGTTTTTATTATTAGGGTGAGATTGTGACCTTAGCTAAATCTGCTCAGTGTGCCCGTTGACCTCAGTGTAGCCAGGTTTTCTCTTAATTCTAGCAGATCTGTCAGCTGCTGGATTCCAAGCCCAAAATGAAGATTGGCAAAATTGTGCCTGAGGAGGAAGAGAAATTTCCTGTTCTCTCTTGATGAGATCTGATTAGATTATTGTAAGAAGCACTGTCTGCCTGACCGGCTTTAATTCTTGTTCTTACAGCGTAAATGGCTGTTTGAAATCAGGTGCAAGTTCAGGCTCTGACGTTTTCTGTCATGTCAGCTGAGGAGTGAGGCAAGATGTGTAAAACACCTAGAGGAAACAGGCCTAGAGAAGGCAGTAAGTGCCAGTCAGTGTTGTGGGGAAGGCACAAGGTGCTGCCCCACAGCCCAGAACCATTTCAGCTGTCTGACAGCGCAGTATTTTTAGCAGTGTACATTCTGGTGTGTCATTCCTGGGAACTGTACTCTTGTTTAAAAACAACCAAATATCAGTAACTGAGTGGAAGCATTCCCTCAGCTAGCACACAGCTATTTTGGGTTTGCTTCTCTTGCATTTACTCTTTGACAGACCCCTGGATGCGATTCTCTGACCTTTAGCTCTGGCTTTCTAATGCTTTTGTTAGCTGTGCTTTACCAATGCATATCACGCTCTTTCTCTCTCCCCTTTCTTCCAGTTGTATAGATAAGGACTGGTAATTGTCTTTATGGAGGTTGTAATGAGTTCTGTCACCACACAAAGCAGCTCACTAATAAAATAAATCAAAGCAGCAAGGAATGAATGGAAAGCATGCCTTTAAAATTAGATTTGTACTGCGGGTGCCGTACTGTCACTTGCAGTGTGAGGCAACGTTAAAAAGGCACAGAGGTGGCAAAGTACCTTGAGAGGGTCACTGAGCTCTGCTGGTAGGGATTAGGAAGCCTTCCATTGCCTCCATTGCAGCATCATTTGCAAGTAAATATTTTAAAGCATGAGCAAGAAAAGAGCAAGTCAAATTGATGTTAGGTTTTACTTATTAAGCAACTCAGTTAAGTAGCTTTTCTGATCACATTGCATGTGTTCGTGTGATGTTGTCTTCTATGCCTGGAGTCTTGTACCAGCTTGGAGCTCTTGGCCCATCAGTTCTGTGCAGCTTCCCACTCCTGCTACCTCTCCAGCTCTGCAGCTCAAGGACAGCTCTATCCTCTCCAGCTGTACCGACTGCAGGGCTCTGCTGCTCAGCTTGCACAAGGACATCGTGTTCCAGAGAATTGCATTTGTAGTGGCCTGGCTGAAAGCTTTTCCTTAGAGACAGGCCAGGTGAGACATCCTGTGGGCAGGCAGCAAGGAAAGCAGGCTGGTGTTTGCCAGACTTGTGTTACCCCAAAATGCAGCTGCTGTGAGCCCCTTGCTGCAGGGTGCAGTGCAGGGTAGTGCAGGTTGTTGAGGAGTGTGTCTGTGTAACTGAGCTCTGGGCTTCTGCTGCTGCTCCTGAAGGTTTTTATGGTTCCCAGGTCTGTTGCAGCTCTTACAGCCTTGCACAAACCATTTCTGTCCTAGAAACACAAACCATGTCCAAATTCCTGTTTTCTCAGCCTGTTAATTTCCCAGCAGCAAAATCACAGTCTGGCCCTTTGTAGCCAAAAGCACAGTCACTGCAGAATAAAAAGCATTTCTAATTCTATAAGAAACTTCACAGAAGCTGTGTGCTAGTTTCTTTTTCATCTCTTCTGCACCAGCCTCTCAGGACACAGCAGGGACAAAAGGAATGAAATTCTGTAGGAGTGTTTGTCAACTTTCTTCGTGTCTCTCTCACCATAACGACATGTAATTAAGTACCTTGAACTTTAGAAATTGCCCATGAAAAATATTTCTCTAACTGAGAGCAACCAACCTCCATTAGGTTATACACAGTCAGCAAATGACTGTAATTATTAGGGCCAGCAGACAGAGCTGAAACTCCAGAGGACTTTAGTGTCAGAGCTAATAATTATGCAGCAGCCTTGGCCAAATATTTCTCTTCCAAGCTAAGTATTTAATATTGTCACTGTAGAATATTAATGGAATTGCCTGCTATGTGTGAAGCTGTTGACTAAGCTCATTGTACAGTGAACTGTGGTGGCTCAAATTAGCCCCAGTGAGCAGGAAGACCAAGAGCACTGCATCAGCCTGCCTAAAATCCACAGCCTTTGGGGCACTCCCATGGGATCTAGGGACAAACAGAAGAGCAAAGGCAGTGCCTCCCTCCAGGAATTCAGAAAGTAATTTCTTTGGCATTCTAAAGGGTACTTTTTCTTTAAGTATTGATTGGATATTTCTGAGAAACACAGAAATATTTCTTAAACCTAATGAGGTAGATTGGCTGGTTTAGAAAACGTCTCCATTTGTTTCACTTGGACAAAATTACTACATCCATACTATAAATAAAGAATAAAAGAAAGTTGTTGCAGAGTGCTGGCACAAAGTGAAATCTTCCCAGATGGGGGAGGAAGCTTTTGGGCCCGCTCTAGACATTAACCCAGCATCAAGGTAGTCATCTCCAACTAGCAGTGTGTTCTAGTGACTTCCTGAGGGCTTTTTTAAAGCTATTTATGTGTTCAGCAGGCAGAGATTTCCACTTAATTGTAAGGCTGCAAAAGCAATGAATGAATGTCAGCAATGAAACCATAAAAGAGCAGTGATAACCACGGGAAAAAGTAGCAGTTTCTTCTGATTTCTGGCACTTGAACAGGCTCATGAATTCCCTGGAGCCTTTTGCATAACACATGACCACCTGTACTAGGGAGATGGCCTCCCTTTTACAGCCTCGTTACACAACCTACACCCAGGGTTTTTTATGGCAGCCCAGTTTAACTATTGTGGTTACTATTGCTGTAATAACATATATCAGTTTATAGCGAGGTGTGTGCTGTTTTCTCATTGCATGGATTTTTTTTCCCTGCTCTTTTCTGTATAGAAGGCTTGAGAGCCCTTGTGCTAAATCCAGGCTTGCTGAATGGCTCTAAGCAGGTTGTTATAGGATTTGGGACTAAAGCAAGGAGGGGAGGGGATTTGGGAAGAGTGTACTTTAATGTAAAAATCTGGGTTACGTTTTTTTATTACTTGGAAGTATTTTCTTTTTCGTTTTCCTCCATAAAGCCAAGACTAAATGTTTCCCTGCTGTTCCACAGGTATGGATGTGTGGAGGGCGCATGGAGGACATCCCTTGCTCTAGAGTTGGTCATATCTACAGAAAGTATGTTCCATACAAGGTTCCCACAGGAGTCAGCCTGGCAAGAGTAAGTGGCAGTGGCATTCCCCACAGCAGGAGTCTGACTGCAGTGAGACCATGCTGTTGTCTACTCTCACCCCATAATGGGAAGCAAATGTAGGGGTTTTTGTCTGTAATTTGCACTTGTACAGTGCAAGCTGAGCAGTTGTGCAGTGGTGGATGTGTAGCATAAAGGGAAGAGAGCCCAGGGAGCTGCAGATGTGTGTGTGAACAGCTGCCATGCTCCAGACATCAGCCACTGCTGGGTGCTGGGCAGGGACTTTGTGATCAGGAGCTGCCTATAAAAACAAGATATGGCTTTATTTGTATAATAACTTCAGTCATTTTATAGCTGTGCTCTCTAAGAGCAGCAAGCTTCAGCAGGGTGATTGGTTTTGGTGATTGAAAGACCTCTCAGCTTCAAGCATCACAGACCACTGAATGGGCAAGCTGTAATTTTCCACAATGGAATGTTCTGTGCCATCTTACTTCTTAATCTAGTGTATCCCAAAGAAGAAAGAGCTTTCGTCTGTCCTGCACTGGGTTTCTCTAGCTGATTTTCAAATTGAGGAGGGATTGCATTGCCCTCTGGTGGGAGAAAAACATCCTAGGAGCAGGAAGACTGCAAAACGAAAAACATCAGAGAGGTGCCCTGCTGTTCTGAAATCTTAAGGTTTGCAGTGTTACAATGCTTTAATGGCATCACCCCAGTTATAGATTTGGATTAATTCCTCAGCCCAGCAATGACCTGTCAGAATGACAGAGCACTCTCCTGTCTGTGCCATCTCTTCAGGAGGGAACTGTACTTATTTTGATTCATAGTACTTTGATTTCAAATATTTGGCTCTTTTGTACTCCCACGGTGCTGGAAGGAGACAGAGAGGTAGGAACAGCTGTTTCTTGGCATCTTAACAGACACCTTGAGGTAAACACCTGCTCCTGTTATGTGCAGGTTGCATTTGGGGCAGGATCAGCATGCTGCTCACTCTTAGCTTCCTCACTTTTTTGGTAGTAAATGATCACTGCCGGACTGAGCAGCTTCAGGTGAGGAGTCACAACTGCACATGCACATTACAAGGGGCACCAAGAATGTGCCTGATGTTGCCAGAGAACAGCCCAAGGTCCAGCACTCTCAAGGGCACTGTGACAAGCAGGTTTTCTTGAGTGGGTGATGTTTGTTGCTGTCTTGGAGGTGCACAGGGGATTAAGCTTTACAGTAATATATGAAATGTGCTGCTGCGACAAGGTAAAGCCCTTTGCTCCGTTCTGAAGGGTCATCACCTGAAAGCTCCATATTCCTGAGGTATCTCAGAGTTTTACCCAAGAAAATGGAAAAATAGTGCTAAGAAAGAGTATTGTGACTAGAGCTTTTCAGAAGGGAGTGCTTCAAATCCCATTCCTAGATGGATATAAAAGATGCAATAAGAAGGATTTAAGAAAGCAGCTTTTTGTCAGAGACCTTTGAATGTCCTGTGGTATTTACCAGCATCATGCTCTGACTAGTTTCCTTACAGAAAAAAAGGATAAAAAAGCAACTTTTGATTAATGTTGTTTTTCTTAGCCACAAGGAACTAGATATAATGGCCAAGTGCCAGCATTCTGTTCTGACCTCAACTGAAAATATCTTTCTAAAAGTCCCTTGGAACTACAGAGTAATAAAAATAATCTTTGTCCTGAAGCTGGAGAGAGAAAGAGTGGATGTGAATGAAAATCCTTTCTGAGCAAAAACACGCGAGCTGCTCTGAATGCTGATGTGGTTTGTGCAGCACTCTCAGGTGGTTTCCCCTCTCGTTCTCCACCACAGAACCTGAAGAGGGTGGCTGAGGTGTGGATGGATGAATATGCAGAGTTCATTTACCAGCGCAGACCCGAGTACCGGCACCTCTCTGCGGGCGACGTCGCCGCTCAGAAGGAGCTGCGCAACAACCTCAACTGCAAAAGCTTCAAGTGGTTCATGAACGAGGTTGCCTGGGACTTGCCAAAGTTCTACCCACCAGTGGAGCCTCCAGCAGCTGCCTGGGGAGAGGCAAGTTTGTGCTCTGACATCTGCAGTTTGGTTTTGTAAGGCTGCCCATGTGCCTCAGTTGCTGTGAGTAAGGTGCGAGCGAGTGTTTAAAGATCTGCTTGATGTTTCAAAACCCAAAACTCCTCTACCATTGCACTGGCCTGATCAAAGCAGGCAGTTGGGCAGGCAGCTGCTTCTATTAGTGCACAGCTCCAACGAGAATAGAGACTTGGCTTGTTCTGCATGTTGTGTATTTAGCAGAAAGCAGAATACGCCAGAGGGAGGATTAGGGAGAGGTGGCAGCTGAGCAATAATGAAATCTTGTATTTCCAAAGGGCTTCACAACTGTGTTGAGCTACTCTTGTTCTTAGCTTTCCCATGTGAAAGGCAGGAAAACCATCCTTATTTTTGCAAGTCAGCTGTGTTCTAGATATAGAATCACGCCAGGAGCAAGGCTGTGAATTGTTACATGGAACTGTTGTGGCTGAGTGTTTTGGGTCATTTAAAGAATCACTGGCAAAGGTGTTGGCAAAAGTAGGTGTAATATAAAAGTGAAAGCATGACAAAGTTTATTGGTAAGGTTCAGTCTTACTACTTTCTAGAGGGTTAAAGCACACAGAGAAAAAGCAAACTAAAATCTAAAATCAATCTAAAATTGAAAAAAATCAAAAATTACCTGTGTTAAGACTGGGGATGGAAAAGGATAAGGCTAAAAAAGAATAAGAGAGATCCTCCCATGGAGTCACAAGGTTCAGAGTGGACCCCTGACTAGCTCTGAACTTAACTAACAGTTTAAACCTAGCGGTTTAACAGCACTTAAACTTAACAGCACTTAATCTATAGCTTAAGTTAAACAATTCAACAAATAGAATTTACTCTAGCACAAGAGTAACTCACAAATCTAAGGTACTTAAGAATCCAGAAGAGCAATATTCATTGTACATTTGCTATAGCATATTCACACTGGCATAGACTTAAGGGAGGATGTACAAGGTAAAGACCTGTGAAAAATGGCACCACCAGACAGCCCAGCCCACAGTGGGCTCTGCAATCCCGTCACTGCTGGGTTTTGCTGTGTGCTGGGGGTACCACTGGGTCCCATTTTGAGTTCTGTGCTTTCTTCCAGCTGTTACTAGCCAGCTCACACTCAGAGTTAAGAGAGGAATCTTCAAAACTGTCTTCATACAAATACTGCTGCAATTTGAGACAATTTGAGCTTCTTTCCTGGTAGGAGTAGGAGATTCAGTGATTAATTCACTATTTCAGATACGCAATGTGGGAACTGGACTGTGTGTGGACACTAAGCATGGAGCCCTGGGATCCCCACTGAGGCTGGAAAACTGCGTGAAGGACAGAGGAGAGGCAGCATGGAACAACGTGCAGGTAACAACCTGATAAATCATCAGCCCCCAAATCTGGGCAGGGACAGGTTCCAAGGACAATGCCGAAGAAAGGCCATTCAGAGCTGTCAGGTGCACCCCAAGGCTCACATGCTGATCGTACTTTGGTACAGGATGTGGCTTGTGCTTGTGGCACAGGGGGTTTGGAGCCTGGCAGATTGTGCAGAGCTTTTACCTCTGGTTTGAAGTTATCAGAGGGAACAAAAGAAATGACAAGAAAACAGTGTGCCAAAACAATAAACCAGTAACAAGGCAGCTGTAATATGTAACAAAGTGAATATTAACTTCAAAGCTTGTGCTGAAAGAAGTGATAGAAGAGCATCATGCATATTAATGAACCTGCAGGAGCATTCAATAACTGTTCACTATCATCCTTCTGACAGGAGGCAAATGCATTATAAACACCCAACCATTGCTGGAGAGATGAAACCAGCCAGGTTATAGATTCACCCTCTCAACATATGAGGTGCCAGAAACGACAGCTTTATTGTAACAGAAGGGAGGAAAATATTAGTTTGTCTAAACTGTAGCAGCTGAGCTGAGAAGGAATCAAGAAAACAATGCCTCTATTACAGAGCCATGCATAACTCTTCAGGGAATGGTTTCAGTAGTAGGAGACAGAGGGTTGTTGCATATCAATTTGATGCATGAAAAATAGAAACAAAACCAATTTACTCAGGCACAGTCCAAAACTAAGCCTCTGTTGTGTCAGGAGGATCTTGAAAATTAGTTTTGGCTTATGTTTAGGAAGAGAATGCGGTTTGAACTTCTGAGTAGCATTGAGCCTAAATGATTGTGGTAATTTCTCTCTCAAGAGGGATTTAAAAGACAGCCAAGAACAAAGTAGTTTCTTTGTGCAAAAGTTTTTGGCCACACTGCTTCAAATAGCAGCACCCTGATCATTACTTGTCTTTCTGAGTGCACCATGAGAGATCTCTGAGGAGAACTGTTCCTCCAGCTGACTCCAGAGGAGCCTTCAGAACAGCTTTTTCCATAGGGACTGGAAGGGAGGCATGCTGGCTGGCAGCCCTGCAGAAGCACATGGGCTGGTGCTGCCCTTCCATCAGGGCACTGCATTGCCAGGCATAGGTTGTGCTCAGTTACTGGAGTAAAACTCTTCCTTGCTCTGTCGAGTCCCTCCTTCATTTCACCTGGGAGTGCTGAGAGTTCATTGCAGGGTCAACAGAAGGGAGTTCCAGGAAGCAACGCCCAAGTGTTTGCCCTTCCTGCACTCCTGTGGGTGGGGTGGGAAGCTGTGGCTCCTGGTCTCTTGTCCCAGGAGTGTGGGACAATTTCTCAAGGTGACTGCAGGCTGCCTTTGCAGACTCTGGTGTTCACTGCCAGCGTTAACTCGGAGCTGCTGGAGCTCTCTGGCTTTTTTGCTGGCTGGGAAGGGCTGTAATTGGTCAGCTGCTCACTTAATCCTTGATGTATGTCTGCATTGCAGAGACATCCAGGGCTGCTCTAGTACCCAGGCTGACCAGCAAGGCTGGCTGCAGTAGCACAGTCTCGTTTCACATGCTGTGTGACTGCTGGTACAGAGTCCCCCTGGTCAGGAGTCCCAGGCCCCAGAGACAGAAGGAGTTTTTCCTCTAGAAGATACTGTCCTTCCCTTGAAGCCATCCCCAACCTGTGGGCACAGGGAGCACAAGTATTATGACCAGCCATTGTGAGGGTCCTGTTTGTCCTGGCAGGTATTCACCTTCAGCTGGAGAGAGGACATCCGTCCAGGGGATCCTCAGCACACCAAGAAGTTTTGTTTTGATGCCATTTCCCACAGCAGCCCTGTGACCCTCTATGACTGTCATGGAATGAAGGGGAACCAGCTCTGGAGATACCGAAAAGTGAGTCTGTGTGTGTGGGTGTACTCTCATCTAAGGTGTCAAACTGCCTGAGGCGCTTACATTTCCTGAAAATGTCACCACAATGTTTTATTCCTTCTCTTAATGTAGCTGTAATAAGAGAATCTGCAGAGAGTCTGTTGTCATTGTACCATTGTTTGAAAAGAGGTGACTCCCCTGTTTCACTGGTTAGAAGGGTGAGGACCCCAGGGCTCCTGAGCAGAGGACACTGTGCAGTGTCCCCACAGCTGACAGTGAGGTGAAGCAACGCCCTTCTGTTTGCAGAAAGGTGTTCTGAGAGTGGTTTGTTCTGAGCTGCAATGTCCTGCCAAAAGTAGATAAGGATTTATTCAACCTCCGACTAAGCAATGCTATTGTGGGCCACAGGTAAGTAAATTCTTGTCCAAGTGCCCTGTCCTAGTCCTTGCAATCTGCTGGCACAGTGCCTGAGAGGGATGCTGCAGGATTCCAGCAAGAGCCCCTGGGAAGCTTTAGAGAGTCCCAGTGCAGGTGTGAGGATTGGGCTGCATTTTCTTGGAAGGGGTGGGAATGAACCCAGACACTTGTCAACCAGTTAAGTGTGGAACAATTCAGATACACCCAAGTGACATAATGGCTTGCCTAGGTTTTTAAGACTTCTCTCTGTTGGTTTTAAAACAACTTTTCTTCTCCACTTATGCAACCTCACGTCAAATTTCTCTCCTCCAGGACAAGACCCTCTACCACCCAGTCAGCAGCAGCTGTATGGACTGCAGTGAGAGTGATCGAAAGATCTTTATGAATAGCTGCAATCCTTCATCTCCAACACAGCAGTGGATATTTGAACACACAAACTCAACCATCTTGGAGAAATTTAACAGAAACCTTGATCTTTAAAAGACTGAGATAAAATATATATATATTTTACAATTATAGTTTTTACTGGGGAGGGTTACAAAAAATTTTTTTAATACTTTTTTTTAAACACTTAATGAAGGCAAAAGGGAGAATCTCAGGAGAAGGTTAACTAGCAGGCCAGTCTTTATTGCGAAGATGCTGCATCCTTCTCTTCTGGGAATGGTGGAATTTAAAAGGCTTTGCCAGAGCCACTTCTGTGCTGAGACTGAACAGAAACTCTGTTTTTAGAGGAGTCTGAATGTGTTTCAAATGGCGCTTTTCATTTTTTACCTTTTTTGTTTTATTTCCCACTGGGGTCTAGTGTTAAATGATTTTGTTATCCAGGACCCTGCAGGACTTTTTGTAGCTGCTATACCACCCACTGAAGCATTCCCAGATAGGTGCTTTATCTTCCAAACTCCATATAAGTAAAACATTGAAGACAAGATTTAAGCCTCCAATGAAAAAAAAAAAAAAAAAAAAAAAGAAAAAGCCCATTATTGTAAAATGAAATGTGTATTTTTTTGCCCTGAACCAAATATATTTCAAACAGGTTGAGTATTATTACTTTCCAAATCATAGCTCTGATGAAGGAATGAGCTCTAGTGGAAGTGCAGCCAAGTGTTGGGAATATGGCTGTTGTTATTAGCCATGAGGAATCTAGGTTCTGGTCCATTCACTTTGCAGTCAGTTTGTCACTCACTGTTGAATCTTCAAGGTGAAAGATTAGCAGAGGGTTTTTTAATAATCACAGTTCTTACAGATAAAGACTTTATGCTAAAAGCCTTTGGATATCAGATTCCAAATTTGCCTCTTATAACCTTTTTAGCAAACACATCTCTAGGATTTCTGAGTTAAATCTACTGCATGAAGACAATTTCCATTCTTCCTAGTTTGAAGGCTAAGTTAATTTACAGTCGGTGTGAGCAGATTAATTCAGGATAATAAAGTCAGGGCTGAGATTAGCCATGGGTCTTTATCCATTTGTTTATCAGTCTGTTGTTTCTTGAGTCCTGTGGTCAGTGGTGTTCTAGCCTTGTGGAAACGTGCTATTAATCTCTCCTCATTTCCCAGCACCCACAGCACTGTGCAGTTTACTGTGACTGGAAATCTATTTGCTTTAGCAGACATGTGGGACTGATTGACCCATTTTCCTGGTACCCTCTCTTTTGTGCAGTGAGTGAGCAGTGCAAGGTGTTACCCCTTCTGGTTTGGCTGTGGGATCTGCCAGACAGTGAACCAGGATTGTCTCATCCTAGGACCTGGAATGTACTGACACTAAAGAATGAATGGAGGATCATTGGTTCAAGTCTATCTGAAGCAAGTATTTTTAAAAAATCTGGTTTCAAATGAAGTTGTTGCAAAAACACATTTACTGGTTCCCCTGGCTTAGTCTTGTACTGAAGGGAGCAGTGACATTTTCTGGTAAAAGCTGTGAATGATGACGCAGTGAACAGATGCTGTGTAAATTAATAAACAGGATTCCTTTGCCAGGAATTGCCCAGCTCCTTGGTTTGTCTAGCTGCCCATGCAGGGGTGTTGCAAGAGTCGCTAGCAGGCACCCAGCTCTGGGGTGATGGGGATAGGACCCCTGTGGGATGCTTGATGAGCATTGCCCCTCCTCAGAGGGGCAGGAAAGCTCTGCTCTGGGGTGTTTTTCATGTGAAGGCAAGGAGTTGCTACCCTGGTGTCCCAAAACAAACAGGGTAGCTCCCTCTGCAGAGCTCCAGAAGCAAAAAGCCCTTTTGTTGCCTGTTGTAGGGTTGTGTCCCATGTTTCAGATGTGTTGGAGGCCATGTAGTGCTGTGCCTGGCAGCTGGGAGCAAACAAGGACACAGCTGCCTGCCCCCAAACTCTCCAGGATTGTGTAGGAGTCCCAGAATCATTTCCACCTCTCTGATCCACACCACTGAGGCCACGTCTGACCCTTCCTGCCAACTTAGCTGGTCCATGCAGTCATGGAGAACAGGAAACATGGCCACTGCATTTGCAGCTGGGACCAGGCTTTCCAAATTTTGATGTCTAAGATTTTGGCAATAAAAAAATAAAAAGCAGCCCTAGACTTCCCTTATGACAGTTCTGCAGCAGTATTAGGAGAAAGTGAGACCAGCTTCAAGCAGAGTTGACATCTTATGTTCTCAGTTACTACAGTATGTCTGTCATTAGGATCCCTTTGCATTTCTGTGGGAGCCAGAGTCACCTTCCAGCACTTTGTGTCTGACTGCTGCTTTCCCTAAGTTATTAATGCTCTCATTAGCAGAGCAGTGCTGACTGTGGAGCCACTAGATGGCCTGACTAGATGTCTTTATGAATGTTTTAATACCTGTGGAACAAGAAGCTGTTTGTCCATGAACAGTGCTAGTTTTTTATAACTGGGACACAATCAGCATATTCTATAAATGGACTGTAGGTTGTTCTGCTTGCAGGTTGCAGCTTTGTGTGTCTTAGTTCTCTAATGAGAGGATTAGCTTCTGTTTCTAAACTGCATGGCTTGCTTTGTACTTGGGCTCACCTTGTGAAGGGAGCCCTCGCTTGGCTCACTGGATTCTTCCTTCAGAGCAAGCTGCAGCAATGAACAGGTCTTTTACCACTTGGTGATCTTAATTTGGAGAGAAAGGTCAGCTCTTAGCAGCTTCCACCAACAGATTAGGCAATAATTGAGGCAATTCCATTTGACAACCCACCACCAGTACACAGAAACTGGAGATTTAGTGTCAGTGGTTGTACCAGGTCCATCTCAGTGTGGTTGATTTCTTTTCTGAAGGTTTGGGATCTGAGTGTGGCAAGAGCCTCACAAATTCTGTACACTTCTGACTAGCTCACTGGGTTTTGAGCTATTAATTATTTGCATCAGTTACACTTTTCAGTACCCTAGAGGCTTTGTTGACTAATGCAAAGACTTAATATTAGCCAACCATCCGCTGATTGAGAAATATAAGCTGTATTTTATCATCTGAATCTTTAACTGAGCCTTTGCAGGGCAATCTGGTTAATTACTCCAATTACTTTTGGTTATTTGTAAGCAAAATCACTAAAGCATGAGTACATAATCAAATCCTCACATCTGCATGCAAGTCAAGACTGGAGATTAAATACTGGTGATTATCTAATGCCAAATACATGTTTTCATATTTTCCCCCCAAAGGTATTGAAACACCCCTCTTTTTGTGGCTGCATAAGTTTTGCTGCTTTTAAATATCAGAATCCCAGACAACAGGGTGTGTGTTATGTTGCATAAAAACACTTTGATTTGCTCTTGAAGCTGTTGTTGATCTATACTGGTGCTAATCTCGAAGGCCTACAGACAGTAAATAGGTTTGGGGCTCTCATGTGTGCAAGGTGTCTTTTCTCATACCTAGGAAATTAATTCTTTTTTTCAAACCACAGTAGAAGAAAGCGTGAGCCTTCCTGAAAGGGGAATACAGCATCATTAAAATAAAGATGTGCCTTTTTAAATGTAAATGTACAGCAAATGCTTAAACTTGAACCATTTCCTAGTGCCTTGCTGGACAAGAGAGGAGAGGGAAAAGGGTTGGGGGATAAGGATGTAAAAGAAAGCTTGACTCCTGCAGGGTTTGTGTGTGGGATTTTTTTTTAAATGTCTGATTTTCAGTGCAAAATTTGTGTGAACGACAGTATAATTCAGAAGCTACTGGGTTCCCTCTGTTAAATCGATCTGGTTAATGACTCTGGGGAGGTTTGTCACTCCTAATAGGAAGACTTAGAAAGGCTGGCAGCTTCCTCTGGGTGTGTTGTAACAGCTGAAGCTGTACTGGAAGATATCTTGGTTAGCTTCTGGATGTTTCACCTCATGGTGAAGGCTCACGATTTCACTGGCATGCAGGATCCTGCATTTTATTTTCTAAGTATGCAAAATACATATAGTCCCAAAAGCATATAAAATCTGTAGCAGAAGTGTCTTTCAGAAGAAGTTGATGCCTTCCATCAATAGAAAACTTTTTCAAGAGTGTATTCAAATCTCAAATACAGAAGTAGCAAGAAAGCAATTTCTCAGCCTAACTTTCCTCGTGGTTGGTTTTACAGCAGTCCATTCACAGGGCTTTGCTTTCCTTTAATACTGGAGTGTTCCAGTCAGCAAACTTTCCTTCTCCCAGCTGCACTGAGATTAGTGACCTGAGAGTCAAACAGGCACCAGCAGCATTGCAGCACAGTGCTCTGGGGCTGCTGCAGGGCTGTGACAGCAGCTCTGCTGGCTCACATCACCCAGGGGAGACATCTCCTAATAGTCAGATTGGACAATCATGGAACTGCCAGGTGAAAAGGGAGAAGATTTTATTCTAAATTGTCTTTCAGGATACAGACAGGGACTTAGAATTGATTGGAGAAAACAGCCAGCCTCTGGCAGTCAGCCTGTCACGCTTGCAGTCACAGGAGCCCTGGTAAAGCCATGTGTGAAACAGCCCAAGTGATGCACGTGTACCTTGTGTCACACATCACTCCCAGCTTGTGTCCCACATCCACTCCCAGCTGCTGGGGTTCATGGATTCACTGGTGGTTTCACAGCAAAGTTGCCTTGTGAGTCAGGACCACTGGGTGCTTCTCCCTGGCTGCCACGACCTGGTACTTCATCTTAAGCAAGGAAAGTCTGTATGCTGCAATTTCCCAGCTTGTGTAGGATTCACCTTTAAGTGCTTTATCTTCTGACCTAATGAGTCTTGAGTCCAGATTTTAAAACAAGTTGGAAATCCTCACCTGGTTCAAGTGGAGAGAGATGCAGTGGGTGGAGAATGGGAAATGAGATCTGAAATTGCCATCAGCATTCAACACAGACTCATCAATTAATTTCATATTCCTCATTAACCAGTCAGATTGATTTATTCACATTATAAATTTGAAGTGTAACCAAAATAAGCTCACCTCCTGCTCTGATTTCTACTTTGTAGTGCCATGCTTTAGCTTGGAGGATCTGTATAAAACTAGGAATGATAGATCATGGAAACCCTAATGAAAAGCCTGTGTCTGGTTTTGACTCTATCTCTGCTAGCTGAGTACACTCCTTAATTAACTGCATTTGAGCTTTCTTGATGCTTCTGTATGACCCAAAAGGCTTCAATGATTCCAGCAGTTGTGAGTGATTTGGGAGTTTTATATAAAGCCACTGGATCAATGTGGTTTTAAATATACTGGTTCAACGCATGAAGGAAAGTCTTAATCCCTGGTATTGAGCAAACAAATGTGAACTTCAACCACAAAACAAGATAAAAACTGATCAAGCTAACAGCCTGAAACATTAGCCCTCACAATAACAGCAACAAATAGCTTTAGCCTCTAGGGTGGAGAAGGGAATTGGTTTCAAAATGCATTCTCTAGGATCTCAGTGATTAGGTCTAAGTTTGTCTGTACCTTGTACTGCATGCATTTCTCTGTAAAACTGGATGGTGCCTCTTGAATCAGTGTGTATTTATTTTGTGCGTATTAGGAGCAACAGCCTAATATCTGGGGGTGGTAAAGGACTTGTAGCACTTTAATGTAGTAGCTTTCATAAATTGGGAATCATTGATAGAATGCCTAGTGTTTTTAAAGTTGAATGGACTTCCTTTTATAATATATTTAAAATAAATTTTTAATGTGTTTTCTGAAAACTGTGTACGCAGACGTGACTGTCCCCGCCTGTTTTGCTCCAGTGATTGGTTTCTCTTCTACTTGTGAGAATAAACTCAGCTGCCCTGGTGTGGTGTTTCCACAACACAGGTTTCCTGTCACTCCATGCCAATGGTGCAATCCTTAAGGAACCACAACTGTAGTGGACGACTTGTGCCCAGGTAGGACACCCCTGGGGTGGACTGGCCTTGGCAGGGCACACTGGGGAGCCCAGAGGAATGGAGAAAACCCAGCTGTGACTCTTCTTTCTCTGGCTGCTGGCCTTGGGAGTGACTGCTGGGAGATCATCCCCACCCCTTGGTTTGCAGGGGTGGGCTGTAACAGCTCATGGGTTGTTTGTGTTCTGATCTCCAGGTGGGGAGAGCAGGCTCAGCCCAAGATGAGAGAAGTGTATCAGCATTGCTCATGTTCCCACTAGGACCCTCAGCGCTTCCTACTGTCACCACTTCATTTCTTCAGTGGCCTTCTCAATACTCCTATTTACTCAGCTCCATTGGGTGAAGAACACTGGGGGGGAAATGGATGAGAGACAAAGAATGAAATGTGTGAAAATCTGTGTGTGGGAAAAGGAGCTTTTCTGGGGGACCAGCAAGGCATGATCCCCAGGGAAGACTGTGCTGTGATTCTTGGCCACGGGAACATTGCCCAGGGTAAGTATGTGCCAAAAGCTGTGACAGTTTAAGCATTTTAGCAGGTTCAATATGTGCAACCCTAGAAAAGTGCTGAGGAGAGTGGGAGTCTGGGGGAAGGTGCCAGAGCAGTGTTTTCATTGGCCTCCCCAAGGTACTGCAGAAGGAAATGGTCTGATTTCTGATGATGAAAAGTTTAAAAAAACCTTCTTCCCAGGACATCTCAAGCAGCACAGACCATGAGGAGAGAAGTATTTCTGTCCTGAGCCCCCTGAATGACTCCATTAAAATACTAAGTTCCAGATGACAGTCACACCACTGACTTCTCTTCAGAGGGTAGTGCTCCAGGTAAGATTTACAGGCCTGCACAGGCTCCCCTAATTTGATTAGAGGCTGACTGGGATGGCCAGGCTATTACTGCTTCAGAGGTACTAAAGCTGCCTGGGTACTGATGGGTTTATGAAACATTGTTTCTCACTTCATTGCAGCTCCCACAAAGAATTATTGGATCAGGTTAGTGATAGATACCTAATAAAGAATGTCTCGATGAGGCAGTTTATTTTGCAGAAAGCTTGTTCCAGACTAGCAGACTGTGAAATCTGGAGGTTCCCATGAGGATAAATATGCTGAAATAAACTGCAATTATAAAAACACCTCCATTCGTTGTTTTGGGGTTGTGGTTTTTTTTTTTTAAGACTGAAAAAAAGGTGTCATCGTGTTTGCGTGAGAAGGAGGTAATTAGCATCGAATTAGCAAACAGACAGTGACAAAAGCTGTTTTTCCTCATAGTGAGCACTGCAAAAGGACTTAAAACCTTTTTAGCTGCAGAGATGAGCGGTTGCAGCCCAAGACTAAATATAATCTGATGGTCAGTACCAGCCTGTTCTGACACTTAGGGTGCCTGTTTCTTCCCAGAATACAGTCAGGGAGCACCTGCACAATCTCCTCAAGGGGACAGGAAAAAATTCTGCTTGTTCCCTTTTATCTCCTTGCTTGCTGTTATTATCATCTGCCCCTACAGTCTGTGGGTTTGGCTTCCAGAGTGTCAAGATAATCCTGCAAGATTTCCTCAGCCAGCCATTTGATTTTTATTGGTAATATTAAGATAAAGCCAGAAAGGTTGTTATCAGCAGCTCTGAGATCTCTGTCAGCCTCTTGGTGTTTTCCCTTTCCCCAAAACAAGGGACTATCTCTATGGCTTTGCCAGGAGGATATTACTTCAGGCAGGCAGATTCCAATCAGTTTGATCTGGGGCTTTTATAAGCCGTAGTGTTTTACTGTTTTAGATCTCTTGGCTCTTTGCTAACTGCTTGTTTGCTCTGTGGGTAAAGTCATTCGTTTCCACCAGCTTCCCGTGAGAACGGCCGCTGTCCCCAGGAGGGTGCACTGTGGTTCTCCGCTGGTCACATGCACAAACAGAAATTACATATTGCCCGAGGGCACCCGCAGTAAAAACCAAGACAAGAGTCAGAACTGTTGAGGAGTATGAAGTCTCTGCCCTCTAAATCTATTCTGAGGCTTGTTTGGTATTGTAAGGAGTGCCTGGAAAATACAGATTTTGGCTTTTCTCAATCTTGTGCAGAGCTGGTTGGCAGAGTTACTGCATGGAGAGCCTGAGCTGATGGCCAAGGGCTTTAAGGAGTCTCTTTCTTGCAAAGGTATTTTGTGTGATTCAGCACAGCTCACGCACATTGTTCCATGTGCAGGATTTCAGGCTTTGAAGTAATTTTAGTCTACAGAACCTTTCTTCTGTCTGAGCAGAAAGTCCTTTCTTCAGGAAGATGAAATCGTTTTCCTTTCAGAGCTGCTCAGGAACCTCTGAGAATAGCATTTGCTGTCTGGTATTACAGAAGTCACAGCATTTCCAGAAGTTTCATCTTTTCTTCACAAATCAGCAAGAATTCAATTTTTTTACCGCCACCCCACCCCACCCCCACTTTTCGCCTCCTTTTTTCTCCCCTTTTTTATTTTTGGGGAGATTTGGGGGTTAGGGTGGGGGTTTTGTCTTTTTTTTTTTCAGAGTTCTTTTGGTTTTTTTTTTTTTTTTTTTTCTGAAGATGAAAAATGCGAAGTTTAAAGTCACATGGCTTTGAGAAACACTTCTCCAGGTCCCATCTTTTCACTGTCGCTGCCTTGTGATAAGGGGAAGAAAAAAAAAATTTTAAAAAGAGTCTTGTATTTCTTATAAAAAACTACGTTTCAGCCAGGAACTCCAGCCGGGGTGCTGACCCAAGAGCACGCATTTGTGGCTGTGCCGACCCGGGTCGGGTACGAGGGCCGGGGGGAGCCGCAGCCCCGGGCCTGCTGCGGGCTCAGGTCTGTCCCCGGAGCGCTGCAGGTGCGGCTGCGGCGCCCCGGCTGCGTGCGGCTGTCCCGTGCGCGTCCCGGCAGCAGGGCAAGCCCGAAGCCGGCGGGGCCGGGTCGCTGCCCGCCTCCTGCGGGCGGCACCGGCGCGGCGGCCGCGGACAGCGCCGGGAGCGGCCGCGGACAGCGCCGGGAGCGGCCGCGGACAGCGCCGGGAGCGGCCGCGTCCCCTCACGGTCCGGGCGCCGCCGCTCCCTCCGCGCGCCCCTCACCGCGACCTTCCGGCTGCGGGGGCCGGGCGCCGGCGGCGGACGGACAGCTCCGCCGGCCAATCGGCGCTCGGAGCGGCGCGGGGCGCCCCGCCCCTCCAGCCGCGCGGCCCAATCAGAGGCGCGCCTGCGGGCCGGGGGCGGGACTTCCGCGGCCGGGGAGGCGGTTTTGTGTGTGCGAGCGCTGCGCGGTCCCGGCTCCCCGCGGGCGGCGGCGCTTGGGGGGCCCGGCCCGGCCCGAGCCGCGGGCAGCGCTGAGCGGCGGCGGCGGCGGGGGGGTCCCCTCCCCTGCCGTAGCGGGGGGCCCCCGCGGAGGCGGCGGGGTCCCCCCGAGGGCGCGGTAGTGACGGCGGCTCCGTCCCCGCAGTTGGTCCCCCGGTGGTCGGCTCCCCGCGCGGGGTGAGGGGCGGGCAGGTGGGCGATGAATGGGTTCAGCACCGAGGAGGACAGCCGGGATGGGCCGCCCCCCGCCCCCTTTTACGGCCAGAGCTGCTGCCTCATCGACGACGGGGACCGCTGCGTGCGCCCCGCCGGCAACGCGTCCTTCAGCAAGAGGATCCAGAAGAGCATCTCGCAGAAGAAGCTGAAGCTGGACATCGACAAAAGTGTGAGTGCGGCCTCGGCCGGGGCTGCCGGGCGCTGCCGAGCCCCCCGGAGGGGCGGCCGGGCCGGCTGCGGGCGCCACCGCACTGCGGTGCCTCCGGGGAGACGCGGATCCGCCCGGCGAGCTGAGCTCCCGGGCGAGCGGGGCCGGGCGCGGCACACGCGGAGCTGCGGACCGCGCTCGCCCATCCTCAGCGCTACAGCTCGGGATAACGGGGAGGATCCTTAGCTCGGGATAAAGGGAAGGACGTGCCTGGCTGCACCCGGCCGTTCCCCCCGTGCAGAGCCGGCTTTTCCCTGTGGCACTGCCCGCCTGCTGAGGCATAACGTAGCTGAAGCCCCGAACGCCGTGCTGGGGAGGCGGGTGTGTGCAGGGAGGCAAAGGAGCGAGCTGTCCGTGCTTGGGAGGCAGGAGTGCTGTTCCCGTTGCGGTCTCGGCTTGGAAAGGCTGCTGCTGTCAGGTGAAAACAGCGCTGTGGTTGCTGCTTCAGTCAGGCGGCACTGACGTTACTTCTTTAATTGCGAAGAATTGGTGTTGTGGCGAAGCAGGTTAGAGACCAAGCTGGCAGTGAGCTGTGCTGCCTCTTCAGCAGGGTCTGTTCGCACACGGAGCAGCCCGGTTTGCTGCCTAATGACACTGACAGCTGTCAGCTCCAGATAGAAACGGGTTATTTGCCCGGCAGAGAAGAGCAGATCACAGAAGGAATTTCTCAGAAGTGACTTCGTTAACGGAATTCAGCTCTGCACGCTTTTTTTTTTCGCCTGATCTGTAAAGATCAAAACCACTGAAAACAAAGCAAAAGCAAAAAAAAAATAGGTGAAGTTTTGAGTCAGTCTGTTTGGCAGCTCCCCCAGTTGGTTGGGTCCCTTCTGCACAGCCGAAATGCATCGTGTCACGGGAAAAGTGACTCAGTTTGAAACGTATTCTTGAAAAATAGAGCATTTCTCCCAGTTGTAGTTCTCAGCAGATTTGTCTAGTGGCATAGTAATTTCTTGCATTTTAGAAATGAGTCTCTGTTGACAGATGCCAGGCTTTAGAAACAAAAAGGGGAAATCAGACTAGTACAGTCAGAACAAAGGGAAAATGTAAAGCAGGCTGCATGGATGTAGGGTGCCTGTGTTATCTGAAGATACTTTGCCTTATAGACACCAAATAATTTTGATCATTTGAAGTCCTTTGTTTTGCTAACTCTAGTGAGATTATATTTGTTAAAAGGGAGGTTCCATTGCTGAACAAGCAATAGGAAGGAGGCTATTCTGCATTTGGTCTGTTTGTTTTAGTTGAGGTGATCAGCTCAAGTTTTATTTGTCAAGGTTTTGAAACACTTGCCTTAATAATCCTCTGTATTATTCAAGCCAGAAAGTTCACAAAAATAGAATAGAATAATACATGTTTTGGTAGATACCTGCTAGTAAGTCCTGAAATAAATGCACTTCCTCCAGACAAGCACCCATCTTTTTTCCTGACAGATGATTGCAGCCATAAAAAACAAATTTATTATCTGTAGAGGTTCAATTCAGCTGAAGCTTGAGTTCTTTGTTTTCTTTACTTTTAGTCTTTGTAAGGTAAGTTATCTCTGAATAAAGAGTGTGATATCAGGGCTGGATTTAAGATTAGAAATTCCTTGATGTCAGTCGGTCACGCCAGTCTTGAGAGATGCACCTGACACTGGTGTCAAAGTGGCTGCTGTTGAATGCTGTTTCACCGTATCTTTTTTGATTGCTTTTTCACCACTTCTGGTTCTCAGGTGAGGCATCTGTATATCTGTGATTTTCACAAGAACTTCATTCAAAGTGTTCGGAACAAAAGGAAGAGGAAGACAAGCGATGATGGAGGTGACTCTCCTGAGCACGACACAGATGTTCCAGAGGTTTGTGGGCTGCTTTACCAGTTCTTAGCATGTTGAAGTTTCACTTAGATGTTCTCATACATCAAAAAATAGTTATATTTTAAATTGCAAGGCCATTGAAGCTGCTGTGGAGTTACTTTCACTTTTCCAGGAAGAGATTTTTCTGACGTGTGGTGTCCTAATTTTCTTCATTCCCCTATGAGTTCTTTGCCCATGTAAAGTTTTCTATAAAAAGAGGTGTGATAAGGTAACTTCACAGCTTAGTGTATGTACAGTTAAAATTGTATTTGATACTATTTTTTTAAGGCTAAAAATAAGTTATTTTTCATGGTGTCTCATGCCCCTACATAATTCCTTATTAATGAGTATGCATCATTTTGCAAATACACTACAGAATTCAATAGGTCACTCTCTTTGATTGGGTATTTGATACCCATGGATATTGAGCTGCTCCAGATATTTGCATATATGGTATTTTTTAGCACTATTTAAAACTACCTTTAAATAGTTTGTGACACATTTTTATTTTCAGGAGATAGGCCTGGGGGAAGTTTTCTGTGCTAGAGAACTTTCTCTGTGCCACTGCGCTGCGCTTGCTTCAGTGATGTTTCTGGTACTGTTGACATGGCAAAAGTTGTGCAGAGGTGATGTTCAGAGAAGCAGAGCATGGCCACAGTCAGCAGAGCCCTCTGCTGGAATTGCCAACCGTATTGGCAAAAAGCTGTTTATTTCTGAAATTAAAAAAAAAAAAAAAAAGAAGCCACCCAGATTCATTTTGCCAGCAAAGCTGTGTCTTGGTGCAAAGCTGGTGCACACACCTCCTGTGTGGAGGTGTTGAAAGAGTAGCAAGTTTTTGGTATGGGTTTTTTTTTTTAAGATAACCTGACCTTTTGTTATCACTGTTCATGTTTCCATTCTGCAAGCCTCTCCATCAAAACTTTCCTGTTCAAGCTTTGCAGTAGTTGCCAGGGTGATTGCTGAAGACCCAGTTGGCATCTAAAAATGTTGGTGCTGTAGAGCACACAGAGTATTTGGTGACTGAAACCTGATGGATGCACGTCACCCAGATGAACAGGGAACTCTGCACCGTGTCAGTTTTAATGTCACTTCCCTCTCAGTTTTCAGCAGAGATTCCTTTTGTCTTTGAAACTTGGCATTTCCCACATGATCTTCATCTTCCCTGCTGTAACCTCACCACCACCCCCTTTGCTTCTAAACTGTGCACTTCCTATTTAAGTATTTGAATTTCATTTCATCTCTGTACTCTGCTTTATGTCACAAGCCGTTTGTTCAGTGCCTGCTAAATTGTTATTTCATGTGTGAGCTTTTTAAACCTTGTGGGAACAAAAGGTTCCCCTTTGCTTGGAGGTTGCAGAGGTGTAATTGAGAGCAGAAATTGGCCAGCAATTCTGTTGACAGCATGTGAACCAGAACAAAAATTTCTATTTCCCTGAGGCTATTTTGGTCTTTTAGCATTAACAAATACAAAATATACTTAGGTTTGTCAGTAAGACAAGCCAGTGTGGTTCTGAATGCAAGCAAGGAGAAGTCCTGTTGAGGAGGAAGCAGTTATTTTTAGATATTTTTAGATAAAATAACTACTCATAGAAACTAAAGGTAGTGCTCATGCCCTCTTCTCTCCATCACTTCCAGGTTGACTTGTTCCAGCTCCAAGTGAACACCCTGCGACGTTACAAGAGACATTATAAATTGCAGACTAGGCCTGGACTCAACAAGGCTCAGCTTGCAGAAGTAAGTGAGGACAGAGGTGGTGTTATCTCTGTTACAAGAAAACTTTTTATCTCCTCTGTTCCAGGGCACCTTTTGTGGGCACTCACACCTGTGTGACTCACTGGTATGGACCAAGTGCCCACTGAAAGGTTTCAGAGAGTGATGCCAGCAGAAAGCTGCCTGCTTGCTTTCAAACCTGGGACAGGCTTGGAAGGCATGGGCACTGGCTGTTAAAAGCCTGTTTTAGTAACTTGTTTGTCTCTGCTTCCTCTCCCACCTTTTTCATAGTCCCAGTTGGTGCCCTTTAGGGAACAGAAACAGGACCCAGGTTTTGGGTGTTACCTGGGGATGGCTGCTCAGCTGAAACTCAGACTTAACCCAATAACCGTCTCCCTAAGTGCTCCTGTTAGTTTTTCTTTCCTCACAGGCACTTGAACTCATTGGAATTGCTTATTATTAAAGGCAGCATCACTGTCCATGGATTCAGATTCTTTATTTCCCTCCCTTGTCCTCATGATTCTGTGTTACAAAAGGCTTTTTTCTTAAGGGCCTCTGCTGCTTTCTCACCATATGGGCTATTTGTTCAGAAAGAACTCTCTGTATCTCTCTGGTATTTGGGCGAGTTGTGCTTGCTTTGCTTCTGCTCTGCTTTCTTTCCTGACTTGATCTGAAGCCTTGCTGTGGGAAAAATCTTCTCTAAACTTGAAAAAAACTCTAGTAGTTACTGATTAGTATTGAGGTTGATTTTGTAAGCTGTGGCTTTCACAACTCAGGTGTCTGGTTTGCTTTTACTTATGCTTTAAAGAACAAAAACCTGACAGACCAAGAAAAATCAGCAAGACACTGTCTTTCTTTCAAAGTCAACCAGGGAGTGAGTATATAGAATATAGAGAATGTGCAGTGTAGGGCATGTAAGAGTACGTTGAACAAAGTAGGGTGGGGTTGTTCCTCATTAGCAGTCCTGATTTGTTATATTTTAACTAACCAATTCATGTCTGTCAGCTGCCTCCTGCCATGAAGGACTGCCTGCTTAAGGAATTTACCATGAATGTACCCAAGAGGAAAGTAAAGATCAATTACTCTGCAGGTGGAAAATAAAGGGAGCCTAACTTAAAGCTGACACAACTTAAAGCTTCCCGTGAAGCCTGAACAGCTTTAACTCTATGCTGGATCCTCATCCAGCTCCCATGCTTGAATCAATGCTGCCTGAGGCTCTTACACTCCTCATGCTATCCCACTGTAAGGGAAACTCAAGCTTCCATAAATGTCCTTGGAGTGACTTATTGCTCAACCTGCATCAGAATCCTGTTCTAGAGCTGTGTTGGGTACCAAAAAAAGAATTTCTTCCATGTGAGAAGCAGCTCCAGCATGTTTTCTACATCCACTTTCTGAGGAAAAATAGCTAATGTTTCAGGGCTTATGCTACTGTCAGAGAGGGGTAGCCCTAACCAAACCCTAACCCTCCCATCGAAAATTCTCTGATGTTCCTTTCAGTGAAAACTTAAGAGTCCAGAGGAAATAATTTTGGAAAAATCTTTGCTACACCTGGTTCACACAGCCAAGTGCTGCAGTGTTTCTGACACTCTCCTTCAAAACACGGTGGTGCAGGGAAAACCCACTCGCCAAATAATCTCAGCACAAAATGTTGCTGAGGAGAAGCTGTGCTGCTTTGGCAGGAGGACGTTCTGGCTTCCAAATTCCTCTTGTAGGTTGGCTGCAAATCCTGCTGACATAGCAAGGCTATGCTATGTTCATACACACATTCCAGCTGTAAAGAGAGAGGGAGGTAAATGAGGACTGACATTTGGAATTGGTGCATGTCTCACTCAAAGGATAATGTGCTCAGTGGCCATAAAATCGTTTTTGGAAAGTGAAGAGAAACCCTGTTCTGATTATTTCCAGTTTTTAATTTCAGCATTTGTGTCTCTTTACCTGTTGTTCTTCTAGACTGTCAGTCGTCATTTCAGGAATATTCCAGTGAATGAGAAGGAGACACTTGCATATTTCATCTACATGGTGAAGAACAATAAGAGCAGGCTGGACCAGAAATCAGAAGGCAGCAAACAACTTGACTGAAGATTAACAAGGCTTGGAATAAGAGAGACCTTGAAGGAACAGGTGGTATTGTGCATTTTAGGTTTATAAAAACTGTTAAAAGTATATTGTAAATTTTTTTTAAAATGCAGTGTCTGAATGACAGAAAAAAATATAGACATTCTAATGAGGAGTATTTCAAAACATGTGCCCAGCATGTTTCCGAAGACTTCTTCCCCTCATTTCAAAGTCATATTGGAATAAAAAAAAGAGGATAATGGGCAAACCAAATGAATCTGTAGAACTGTGGAGTTTGTCAACTTGCTGTTTTAAACCATTTCTGGAAATCTACATCTCAGTGCAGTTCAAATGCCAGATGGAATTGTTTTCACTGAATTCAGGCTGCATCCCAAACCACCATGCAGTTTGTCTTGGTACAGGACTGGAAGAGCAGCAGAGATAAAATTCATTATCAAGGTGCATGGGTCAGAAGTTTGTATGAAGCTTATTGCTCACCTACACATGCTCTGTCTTGCCTTGAGTTAGTGCTTCAAGTCCCAAACTTCTACAAATGCTCCAGCTCACCAGATCTACTCCAGTGAATGCTACTTGACCAGTCTGAAATTGGTGGGGTTTTTTGCCATTTTTTTCCTCCCGACCCCATCCGACACAGATGCCAACCAACTCTCTGCAGTTTCTTTTCCAATTTCTTCCAAGAACTCACTAATTAAATTTTGTGTAAGCATTTAAAAATTTCTGCATTTCTCTGAATGTGGTATTAAGGCAAACACAACCTATTTGCTGTGTCTGATCATGTTGGTAGAAGTGCTTATTTAATTGATTTATGCATATTTCAGTGATGGTAAGTGAAACAATGGCTTGAGACATCAGTTTCTTAATTTCTGTGTCAGGTCAGTATCAGTCACAAGCAATGCACATTTTATACTGAATTTTTAGCAGGTGTCACAAAATTGCTATGTGCATTCAGGGGCTCTGTTTAGTATAAAGCAGATATATGGGTGAGGCACCATAACCAGGGCAGTGATCTGACTGGAGCATTTCATGATACATTTCATCTCCCTCTGCAATGGGCAAGAAGCATCAAAGCATTTGCCTTCCATGAGCATTACATGTGCTTTCATTAGAGCTGTGTGAGTGAGGGTGGCACTGGTGCTCCCTGACAGGGCACTGTAGGAGGAGATCACCCTGATTTTATTTAAAGCCGAGGTGTCCTTAGAGATAATACAGTGATTATTTTGGCAAAAGGAGCTTTTAAAAGTGTTGGTCATGACTGACTGTTCTCCAGTGACCTCAAATTCTCTTCAGGGGAATCTCATGATTTAAAGCATCGCTCTGTTTCCTTGCTGTCCTGACCAGTGTCTCCATTCTGGTACAAGATGCCAAGACTCCACACAGAGAGGATATTCTTAACAAGCCTTAAGCAATGAAATGAACAGTAGAAAACTTGAGCTAGCATTTTGTAAATGGCAGGTTTTATTATTTCAAAACTGGATGAAGTTTTGTTTAAGAGCTAAACACACTGGTCATGGTCCCAGCTTAGTACTGCATTATGTTTTGTAAGGCATGAAGGGTTCACTTAGTGAAGCTCTTGTTAAAGCTCTCCCAGGGTCTCTTTAAAATTGAAGTCACAGTTTAAAGCAAGTTCACATCACTCTGAATTGTTTGCTAATACTCCAAAAACATGTTCAACAAACTTCAGCATGTCTTAAGTCCTTTGTCATAGGCAGAAATACTCTGTTATGGTACATGTCCCATTTGTGACATCTTGGGAGTGTGATTATGTCAGCATTTCCTTGTTCAATTCTGTATGGATTTTTAGAATATCATACAAGAGAGAGGTTCAAGGAATGAGGAGAGAATGTCTTGTGTCAGTATTTCATGAATGTTTAAAAATTTCCTATTTGTGCTGGTCCTTTCCTTATTGAAAGGGTGGAGTAGTTCCCACATCAGTCAACATGATCTGGCTTCTCTCATTCAGGACAGATGGTTAGAAGGACACAATCTCTGACTGCATGCTAACCTTCAAAGTGCTCATGTAATCAGAGGATGTTACCAAGGGAAAATGAGTTTCTGAGTTGAGAGGGTTATGCCTCATAGTGATTGTTCCCCTCCAGTGGGCACTGGTGAGGCCACACCTCGAGTGCTGTGTTCAGTTCTGGTCCCCTCAATTCAGGAAGGACACTGAGGTGCTGAAGCAGGTCCAGAAAAGGGAAGCAAAGCTGGTGAAGGATCTGGAGCACAGATCCTGTGAGGAATAGCTGAGGGAGCTGGGGTTGCTCAGCCTGGAGAAGAGGAGGTTCAGGGGGCACCTTCGCATTCTCTGCAACTCCCTGACAGGAGGGTGGAGCCAGGTGGGGGCCAGGCAACCAGGGTCAGGACAAGGGGAAATTGCCTCAAGCTGCACCAGGAAAGTTGAGGTTGGACATTTGGAGGAATTTCTTCACAGAAAGGGTGATTAAATATGGGAATGGGCTGCCCAGGGAGGTGGTGGAGTCACTGTCCCTGGAGGTGTTTAAGGAAAGACTGGCACTTGGTGCCATGGTCTAATGGACACGGTGGTATTTGGTCATAGGTTGGACTCGATGATCTCAGAGGTCTTTTCCAACCTAATTGATTCTGTGATTCTGTGATTCTAGACCAAAACTGTAAAAATGTAGTTTGTTTGGGATTTACTTTTTTTTTTTTTTTTTTTTTGTTTTTTTTTTTTTTTTTTTTTTTTGTGGTTGTATTTTATTTTGCTTTATTTTTAAGAGTAAATAAATCTGTTGGGGTGTTTTAGTAGCCAGCAGCAAAATTATTCTTTTCAAGGAAATATGGTGGCAGGTTCCATCTGTTCAGGTGTATTCACTGGAATGCTTTTGCGCCGAGGTGGTATCCAGGAAACTTTTCTTTTCTTTTTTTCCTGAAATAGTCAATTGATGTTAAATGTGATCCTTGCTGGTTTCACTTCTAAAGCAATTATACTTTTTTGAAGGAAAAAAAAATTCTTAGTGAAGTGTGATGATGAAGAGATGTTTACCAGCCATTAGCAGTTGTTTATAAGGTGGAAAGCTTGGAGGCAAGACACCAAAGAAACAGAAGAATCTTTGGCTGTCAGACCCCATGGCCTTATAAACCCCTTGCAAATGCCTTATTACCTTGTTCTCAACTTAGCTAGAGCAAAACACCTTGAGCAACAGAAAGCTGATGGTCTTGTTGGAAGGGTCAGCCACTTGCTGGCTCCCGTGCTATGAACTGAAACCACACGTCAATTCAGTAGCAATATCCATGTTCAGGGTGCCTGTGATTCTTGAAAAGCATTTAGTGTCTAATAACCAGAAAACGCAACAATGCAATTGTCCTTGTGTACGATACCGTGCTGTGTGTTCGATTCCTTATGCTGCATGCCAAGTTTAAAAAAAAAAAAAAAAAAAAGACTTTCCAACTTTTTATTTTAAATGGCAAATTAAATGTGTTTGAACCTCACACTTGTGAAGCCATGAGGTGGGACATTTTCTCAGCACTTTTAGATGGGACTTGTTGGAAAGGTGTAAGACCCAAATCGCTTTGGCTGGTATGATATTTTTTTTTGCATTTTGCTTTTCACAGATGGGCCTTAAATTCTGTCTAGCTTTGAACCATGGAGCACAAGCCTTGGGGGCATGGAGGATGACCAGATGTCATCTTCTATTTTTAATAGTGGAAGCTTATTTCTTACAAGCCTGCATAGGTGACATTCACCCTGGGGCAGAGGAATTGTCTCTGAAGGTCTCTGGCCATTATATAGACTAATGCAATTCCGTAGCCTAGCTCAATTCTCATTGCAGAGTTCCATTAACTTAATTAGAGTTCTGAATAGATCCAAAGCCATTAGTATGCAATCCAAATAATGCAGAAACATCTCTTCTGGGGTTAATTTCATCCTGTATGCTGACCCTCTGCTCACTTCAAGGGAAGAAGAAGAAATCATTGCTGGTAGTTACTGGCTTGAGCTCAACTCAGGGGAGTTGGAAGCATGCAAAGACTCAAGTCAGTAGCAGCCTGATGGCTGAAAAGTGCAAACACATCCAGGGAGGCTCTGTCAGAATGCAGTTTTCAAAATTCCATAATCTGAAAGATTATTGTTTATCAACCTGAAGTAAACTATTGCAGGAAAATTAACGTTTCTTTTGCCAGGCACTTTAGATGCACAGCCTGAGAAAAGCAGAGCTTTGTACCACTTCTCTCCAGTGTTCTGGTGTCCCAGTTTTCCTTAGAAATGTGGCTGTAAACCACTGGATACCCCAGGGTGCAAGAATTGACCAGAACATGTCAAGCCTGGCATTTCAAGTGAGTCTAAAGTGCAAGCTGGGTTCAGAGAAGCTTTGAACACAAGAGCTGAAATAATCTACAGTAAATGGGAGTTTTCATGTGGATCATGATGGCACAGGGAGGATGAAGCAGGACATGGCCCACAGGGAGACTGAACAAAACACTTCCACAGCAGCAGCAGCAGCGTGGAGGGAGATTTGTTCTGTGTCAACACTTGTGATGGATGTTTTATGAGAGGGGGAGGAGGGTGAGCTGTGCACTTTACATCTTTTGGTTGAGCCAAATGTAAATACCAATGGGAGATCTTCAGCAGGAGCTGCAGTTGGAGAGGAGAGGAGGGGTCTGCTGAGGGACTCTTTGTTTAAGTTTGCAGATTGCTGGACTTCCTGGAGCACTAGAGTCACTTTGTCTCTACAGTTCAGAAATGTGGGTAATACAAGGTGGCCTCCCTTCCAAAAGGAGTCCTTGTGCTGCCCAGAGTAAGGACAGAAAGTCCCAAAGGTGAAGGAATGTTACTGATGCCTCACTCCTCGTGTCACTGATGCCCTTTAACCATCTCTAGCTTATCAAGTTAGGGAGTTCTCATTTTCCACTTCCAAAGTGCAAATGAACTGTTAGGATGTAAGATACTCCTTGCACTTTTCACAGCTATCCCTGGTCTCCTATTTTTGACTTGCTTGTGAACACAGCTGTTTGGGATGAACTAAATGCTTGAACAAAATGTGGGGAGAGGAGGAGGCTCCTGCTTTAAACCTGAACTTCCCTTGCAAGCAGCTCTGCAGGCCATCCTGTACATCAGCAGGCTCCAGGAGCCTCTGACTTACCTGAGCCTTACCAGGGCTGGGTTTACTCCTGTCCTACCCACACCTCTGCTCCACAGCTATTGCAGGGGAGGTGGGTAGCAGGTAACTTGCAGAATGGTTTGGAGTCTTTTGGCAGGCTTACTGGGAGAGAAAACTGTGTTCCCTCTTCTGTTTCTGGCCTCCATGTGTTGTGCTGATCTTATGCCAAATGTTTTGGACACCTTGTATTTTTAACTGTGTAATATAGCTGTGTATTGTTAAAGCAACTTAGTAACTTATAGCAAAAACTGTAGAACTCATTTCTCTGAGGTGTAGGAAATGTCCTGCTTCCACTGTGTATGAGACTTTAACTCTGTACTGTCTGACAAAGATAAAATTCTGAATTTCACTTTAATAAATGATCTATCCTAGCAACCAGGCCCACATTCCCTTGTTTGCCTTTCTGCCCTCAGCACCAGATGGTTCCAGAGCCAAGGGAGTCGTGCTTTGTGTGAATGTTTTGTGCCTTTTCCCACTGCCTTTTCCCACCCACCTCCCCAGGGCTGAAAACACTGCAGCCATGGAGCAGAGAGTGGCACTGCTCAGTGGGAATGCCAGGCCTGCAGCAGAAATCTCAGGTGATGGGATATTTTCTGACAAACCCATGTGGGTTGCACAGGTGCAATTCATGGAGTCTTTTGAATGCAACAAAAATACAAACTTGCAAGAAAGATGGAGGCTGTTGAAGAGCCACGTGCCCTTGCATTTTGGGGAGTGTTGGGCTTTTCTGTGATGGGAATTCCTCCCCTCCTGCATCACGAAGAGTCTGTCAAGTGCAGCTTCTTATTTGATTCATGTTTCCTATTGAATCTTCTTTATGTCTAGTTCAGCCCTGTGCTTCTGCTCCTTTCTCAGGCACATCCTTGGCTTCATTTCATGCATGATTTATAGCTCCTGTTGTCCAGAGTTAAACCTGCATGCCCACTTGACAAAGTGGGCACTGCTCCAGGGCAGTAATGACATGGATTATCCCAGCATTCAAGATCCTTACTCATAAAATGCTTTGTTTCATTTCTTTTGCTGATATTCCTCCTGACCATCAGCCTTATAAGCAAAGGTGCCTCATTTTTTTGCTACACTGAGGAAGCAAGTGAAAAAAAACTGGGATTTGATTACTTGTTTGCATGAACTCTGTCATATTTTTAAAGACTCTGCTGGCACTGTTTGAGTTGTGCTTTTAGCCTTGATTTTTAGCCAGAAAAGAGGCTATAGTGTAGCATTTCACATACTTGGGTTCTCACAGAGGAGGATGATCAGATGTCAAAAGCTTTACACCCAAAACAGATCCTGGTGTCCCCAGTGCCTGCCTTTGTGGATGTGTCCGAGGCCTTAATGAACCAGGACAATTTTGGAACGTGCTGCTGTGCTACAGGAGGTTCCTGCCTCGGGGAGCTCTCAGTTGAGGAAGACAAGACCAGAGATGACACCAGTGGACACCAGGGGTGGATCACATCACACAGCCTGTGTGCTGTCAAGGGTTTTTCGGAGGTGTCAGGAGAGAGTCTTCAGGGGAGGATAAGGGCAGCATACCCCAGTGGAAGGAGAAGACTGTGTCATTTGCATTCCCAAATTGATGACTGGGGGCTCTTCTGCCAGCACAGTGATGAGGAAAGGCAGTAGGGCTAAAGGAGGACAGCTTTAAGGAGCAACCTGTTGTGCAGGTGCTGACTTTAGTACAAGAGGGTATAATGCAGCCTTGTGATAGAAATAACCTGCCAGTTAATCTGTTATTTGTATAGAGTAATGAATGATGCTACTTCATCTCATG